CAAACGTAGCTACTATTTGTTTACAATATGCCAGAAGTGGTAAACTTTTGTATTTTTCAACAATCAATAGGTTTTGATAATTGTTAATTTCAGTTCAGGCTTTATGCTCAAGATCATGTTATACAGTTCAAGAAAGAATATTTTTCAGCAGGCCATTTCATAAGACAGAAAGCTGGGTCTTTTGCTTGAGGTGAAACTTTGCTTTATTGTAAATTTGATTAGCAAGGACTTTCATAGATAAAAGTTGTCTTTGTCATACCATGAAAAGGAGAGTGAAAGAGTTCTGGCACATTGATTGAAAAGGTCATCCCGTATTTATATTTCTCAACAAGAAATGTATTTATGAATCTGATCGATACATACTAATGTACTAATTTACTCTGTGTCCTTTGATAAAAGTTTAAATGTTGATTTATAATAAAGAATATCTGAATTATTTTTGAAGTCATTCTTTATATAATCACTGCATGGAAACAGCAACTAAAGATGCTTTTGGGACATTGGTATGTAATAGAGACAAGATCTTCTGTTAGAAGTAAGTGAGCAAGCACTTTAATGTTTAGTGCAGCTTCTACAAAACCAAAAAAAATGTTGTCCTTCGATATTTAAAAAGAGAAATTCCAGAATTCTACTCTTCCAAAGTTAAGAATGGACTTCACTTATCCTATGTGGAGTGACCTTGTAAAAAGAGTGGTCAATACATTGCACCAAAGCAATTTTTGTGTTTAGTGAGTCTAATAGCCTGATAGCAATACTTTTAAAACTTTATTTTTGCTCTTGCATCACTTAAAGCAGGTTAATCAGAAAGGCATGTACTTTATGGCATCTGTAACATAGCTGTAAGCTGCTAAATGTTTGTTCAACAAGTTTTACATTTATCTTAGGCCTATACATAATGATGTGCCTCTTTAAAAGCTTATGAACAAAAAATTGTTTAGTGGTAATGATCAACTTCTTACCAAGCTTTAGTGTTTAAGGAAAAATTTATGGAAAGATACGTTGCTATCCTTCGAAAAGTGAAGTTGCGCATGATTTAACCATGAGTTCTTAAAACTGACAAGATTTAGGTCTAAAACAGGTTTTTCCTATGTTGATACATAAGTGCAAAGGTGACAGTTTAGGTTTGCTTCCAAAATTTCCGACAGAATTCTTCATTTAAAACTTACATTTTACTTGGACTTTATTAAGACTCTCGCGTTTTTGCCACCTTTCAAGATGGCGCCCATAAATAAATTTGCCTCACCATGACAACGGCAGTTAGATACATAGAGTTCCGCACCAAAAAAATGGCGACATTCAAAATTGAAGGAGCGAGGAATTTTGAAATTCAACCGCGGAATACTAAAAAACTGCAGCTTTTTAGAAGCGACAATGAAAAGAATATCAAACAGCAAGTGACTTTCTATATAGTTTGAAAATTTTGCGCCCTTTCTTGAGGTGTCCAACGAAACTCATTTTTAAAGCATATTTTTGAGGCACAGATCACGAACTAGTTGGATCAACTGGCGGAAGCATTACTCCTTTAGCTACGACGTAACCCAGTGCACACCAGTCCAAACTTAAAGGATGATCAAGTCAGGGAAGGAAGGGAAAGAGAGAGAGCATATCTTACTAACTAAACAGACAAACCCCGAGGGTGAGTATATTGCGATAGCAACGATCATAAAGCTGTCGACTGCACGAAATTAACCGCTGTAGCTGACAGAAAGCAAATCCTGGTAAAAAAAAGAAGCTGTGCTTCAACTGCGCCATTGAAAACCACCACGCTGCACAATTTCTAAGGAAAACATCGTGTCAAACCTGCCACAAAAGACACCATACCTCGATATGCGACAAATCACAGATAAGTGAAGTGCAAAGGCTACCTTGATTTCAAACGGAGTGGGCGAGGATATTTTTCCTTCTGTATTACTGAAAGTAAATGGAATGGTTCATTGAGCACTGATTGATACATGAGCGTGTAGCTCATATGTTTCTGCTAAGGTCCTTGAATGCGCCCATACGACATAACGTTTCCTATTAGGCGCTGGTCAAAATTCATTGTGGGCTGGCATTTTGCATGAAATAAGCATAAAACATGGTGGAAAACAAATTGAATACAATTAAGTGAAGCGAAAAATCTTGAGGGAATCATCGCTTAAGTTGTCCAACATGCGGAATCGAGTTAAACAAACTATATTACAATCCAAAAATGAGTTGTCCCAAAAAACCGTAAGTGTTCATACCTGTAGCTATCTGCCTGAGTATGAAGTGTTTTTAGAGCAGCGAAGCAAGGTTTAAATCGACAAATGTTTGAAAGAAAAAACAATTTAGGGAGATCTTGCGTCGTTGGTTGATATTTTAGAAGATGAGCACTTATTTTTATCAACAGTTTGTAAAGTCGAACTTTCTGGAAAAAAAACACGTTTGCAGTACAATTAAAAGAACAATTCTCGTTTATACAAATATTTTCTCTTTCCATAGAAAATATGATTGACCGAGAAGTATTTCTATTGATCATACGAGATATAATTTCAACTGCCGGCGCAAAAATATACCTCCAAGAAATAGCCACGAGAACATCGGGTAAATCAACAGTGCTAATATTCAGTTTCTCGATTCACAGTGTTGGGAAAATGGAAGTAGGCTATAACGCACAACAAAATGCAATGCTTTCACAAAGTTCTGTCACAAATATACACCACGTTTTGAGTTTTGTCTTTGAAAAAACAGATTTTATAACGAACTTTTGTTTTACAAACTTGAGTTTGAACGTCATAATACTGTGCAAAATATCACAAAAGCAAAAATCATGTTTCTGTTGTTGTTAGCATGTACTTAACTATTTGTCAGAGTGATTAGATTTAGCTTGCCTAAAAAATTATAGCAAATTGCAGAATAGTAATACTTCAGTTTCGTTTTCTTCGTGTCTAGCAAAAAATCTGGATACAGCCAGAAGATCTCGATCCGCATGATTTTTCACTTGGTAGCCGAAAAAATTCTGAAAATTTTTATAGGGGAGCAACATACTTTGCAGAAAATTATACAAGTATGCTTTAACCGTTTTATGCGGAAGACATTCGTTATCCTTGGTAGTGTGAGACCATCTCAGAATTAGCTTTACCTGCTTTAAAGTAATTATCGCGGTAATCAGAACATATGTATATAAAAAATTTTTAATCACCACTTGAATACTAATGAGTAATTGTGTTGTGTTTAGCTGCTTTATAGGTTATACGTTTTACAGTTGGTTCTTAGGTTCATCTTTTAAAGACGATTATACTGCTGTATTGATAGACTTGTCGATTTTTAACATGACTAAAAACATTTGCAGGTGTTTTTAAATCAGAAATTTACTGTTGTTTATAAAAAGCATTTAACGCGGAAATCCAAGTCACATATCTTGACCAGGGTTTCCGGGTCAGTTTAACCCAATTTGCGTCGATGGCATTATAACCAGTAACGGGTTAACGATTTGACCCTATTTGGGTCATATCTGACCCAGATGTTTTTAGAGTGTGTAAATGCATGAAAGCACACAAAGCTTTTTTCATACTGTCTCCAACGAGAAATCTTATAGCTTTCATAATATTTAGGGGGAAAAATTTGCGCAATACACTCTCGAGAATAATAGCACAATCACATTTGACAGGAGCCTTGGTGAAATACAAAGAAATAGCAAAGATCCTAACTTACCTTGAACATCGTAAAATAAGCATATGTTCATTTATGAAATTTTAATTAAATTTTACGTGTTGAAGAATCTTACCTTCTAAAAAGACCGTATGAGTTTACAATATGAAACTGATCAATTTGGCTGTGCCATTTTCTAGCAAAGGCCAAACATTACGTTGTGTATCTTCATCAAGAGCTGAATACGGAACCTGATCAGGAGGAATTTTGAGTTAAACTTTGTGTTTTGTTGGGCAAAAATGAAAACACTATACGAATAAAAAAAATTACCAAACTTATACTAAACAACCAAATGGCTACGCCAGCTTTCACACAATATAAAACGAGAGAAAAGATTTTGTCCAAAACTTGCTCTGGCTGACAACATCTAAAACAAAATACTCATATAAGATTTATGAAAAGAAAAACGAATTAACAATTGGCAATGTAGCGGATCCAAAACAATCACGAAAGGAGACTAAACTGAAAAAAAATCAAGCCACTCAAAGAGTTCATAAACACGATATCATCTGCGCTAGAACATGAATTTTGAAACAATTGTAGGCATATGAAAAACATAGAGCGTCGAAAAACTGCAAAACTGCACGCAAACAGGTGTATGTTTAAAGAAATTTTGTGGTCAGAGATGGCGTTCAAAACAGAAGCAACTGGGAGCGAGTATACTTTGAACAACCCTTTAAGTGGCATTGTAGTAAATAAGCAAAAATAACAAACATAATAAAACTCAACTGTGAAAAATTTATTCCATATTAAAGAATTAATGATCAGCAGTAAATGAAATCATTCACGCGTCCATGTAACATAAGTAAAGACACATACAAAAATCAAGGAAGATATCGTGGATAGAGAACACGACAAAAACTTAACAAAACCTCCCTTATCTTGGAATTTTTACATTGTTTTCTTATTTATCGAAGGATCAAAAAAGAAAATTTCGTGCAGTTAGTACATTTCAATGCTCCTTTTTTTAACAATCTGTTTACAATATACTTAACAAAGTAAAGGTTTAATCGTCTAAGCTAGGTAGTATCTTTTAGATGTTTGCAGATGTAGATCGCGTCCAAGTTAGTAGATTCCTGAGAAGGAGTGATGGTGTTGATATTAACTGACGTTTGGATAACCTTAACCTTAACCCACTTGACTCTAAAGATGTTTATCGCTAAGGTTATCAAAACGGCAGCCAAAACGTCAAACCTCAACAAACTTTGAAAAATAACAAAACAAAGAGACAGTGCTCCAACACAAATAGAAAATGGAACAATAGTCTTCGGAACAACAACAAACTGGGAATAGGTAAAACCTAAAAAGAAAATGCCAAGTGTTTAATATCAAGTCAAGAAACCTGAAACTAAAAAAATAAACATGTTTCATTTTGAGTTCTATATGGATGAGAATGAACTGAAACAAACTTTCCTGACCTATTTTTGTGATGAGAATATTTTTGCTATCAAATTCCACTAAAAATAAACGCTGGATCCAATAAACGAAGACAAATGCAACAACCAGAACAATCAACTTCCTGATGGCATTAACAATAACATTAAAAAGGGGACATCTTCCATTAAGTTCACAAGACAATATGCCTAAATAAAAAATTGTGGAAATAAATACATTAATTAACAAATCGCTATTATATTCCTAACATAAATACTAACATTACATTCCGAAAAATTTCACAACAATACTCATACCTTTTCATTATCAAATAAAAATAATGTTGGTAACATTTCCCAATTGTTATAGTTCTTAAAAATTATATTCATTACGTGAAATAATTACACTATAAGAATTATATTAACAAGTATATTCCTGCAAATTTCAGATACGTTTTGATAAATGAAAGAGTATAACTATAATGCCAGAAAAAAAACTTTGTAGAAACATTTAACAGTATGCATAAGTAAGCACTTCTAACCACAGAAGAAAAACACATAGAACACTCAAAACAATAAACAACGCACAGAAAGTGCTAACATCGAAACACACAAAAGGAAAATACATTCATGCAAGAAAAGCTAAAAGGTTGAGTTGACTGTTCGCAAAACGATCACAGAAGACTTTAAAGAGAAGATAAGGGCTTCGATATAATTTGTATGGTGCAGAGATGCAAAGTTGGACATTTCAGTTGTTACGCATTAACACATTAAAAAAAAAACTAATTTTGCTCAAGAGAACGATAATGAGTAATTGGATCGCAGAAGATCACATCAAGACTATGACGAATAACTCAGGGAGATTCTTTCTCCTCCTTGCTGTATTGTAATTCTGACTAGATCTAAGTAAAGCTACAAGAGGTCAATCACAAGCGAACCAAACAGTAGCATGTTTAATGTGATCTAAATTTAATTGGAAATAACGAGTAAGAACAAAATAATGAACTGAAGATCGCGAAACAATTCAGTGAAGATATAGGTATGGAATTTGCACTCGAAAGTTGTTCCAAAGCCAGTTTCAAAACAGGCAAACTAATCTCAACTGGAAACATTACTGACGACACAAAAAGAGAAGAATTGCATGGACGACGAGAAACTATTAGTAGATCTGGGTGTAAACGAAAGTATTAGTATGAAGAATGACAAAATGAAAAAGAAGAGCAGAAACGAGCACTGTAGAAGAGCAAAATTAATCAAAAGAAATGAAATCAAATGGAGAAACGAAATACAAAAGTCCATAGTTAACACTGTAGTAGTCGGAATTTTGCAATATAGCATCTGAAGAAGATTGACGCAAAACAGGTAAACTGTTAAGCGTACAGAAAATTTTACATGGCATAAAGCATAACTGGAAAGAGTGTTCATCCTGAGAAAAGATGGAAGTACGGGTCATTGAATATTGACGTAGAAGAAGCATTTAACAATAGAACTTAATAAATATCTGAAACACAAAGAAGAGCAATGATAAAAGCAGGTGCCTGAACATGAAGATCTAAGGCTAAAAATTGAATAGCTTATAATGGTATTAACTTAAAAAGGAACAACAAAGCCAGACATTGAGAAAAGGCAAGAGTGCCTTAGTGATTGAAAACATTGCATGGCTCATATCCAAAAAGGTAAGACAGACCTCAAGCATAGACACAACTAACACAAGTATATGGTTGTCAAAAAATATAAAAAGAAAAACAGTGGGACAACTAAATGATTTTCAAGATCAGGCAAAGAGCACAAGAAAGTAGAAAAAAATGATATTTCGTCAGGACGATTTGTAACAGCCAATCTACAAACAGATTATCGTTGGAATTACAATAAAACAACAAGACTAGTGGAATAATAAGAGCCAACAGATCGGACAATATTCATTAAATTCTATCTGTATGCTGCACATTGAACTCTCTCCCCATCATATTGTGAAGATTCTTTGTTAAAATATGGTATCGCTATTATATAATTCCAATAATGTCATAATAGAGTTTAGAGCAACTTTTTTCTTTTTTTTTTACGAGGGGCAACTGATCCAAAATACGTCCATTTAAACATATTATATAAGTCCTCTCAGTGAAAGGCTGTATGGTTTGCTAATTAAGATCATCAAAAATTGATCTAATTTCTTTCATTTTAATTTTCTGTGTTTGTACATATCTTTGCTTTTCTTGTACCAACATTAAATTCTATCACTTTTATGGAAAAGATGACGCTGCAGTCGTATGAGCAACGTTAAAAAGCACTGCCTAAATTTATTAACTTTATATATCATATAAGTTGTCCTGATGGCAAGTTGTTCATAATAACATTTCGGCACTTCTATTACGTCATCTACTCAACCCTTTCCTTAAAATTTGTCGATCGTAACCGATCTCATTAAACAGTCTTAATGAAATCATCGCAAAGGTTATTTCTCTCAATAATACGTAGTGTTAAAAGTTGATGAATTCTAATTATCACAAATATGTACTTGTCTCTTGTCCCATGCCCACGTTAGATCTTTGAGGAATATATGAATAACACTTTCTATTTGGTTTAAACTTGGCATCGTTGATCTTTCCCCTCACGACTATTATGCCTTTTATTTGTCTGACACTTCAACATGCACAACATTTTTCGCATCTGAATAGATTTAAGTTACCTTATGCCATCATGCATGACATGAACACGACGTTGCCTTGGGGAGATTTAGGCTGCGTTTACACTACACCGGATTCGCTCATCACGACATCTTTATTTGCTTTGAAAGGTTAACTGTTCGGAGTAAAAGCTTATTAAGGAAGTTCCTAGGTTCCTTTGACTGGCATGTCCTACTAAGCCCCTCCTCAAACTCCTGCGAGGATATGTGGAATATATTCTGCAAGATAATACACACAGGCTTAGACATTCTAATGCCCCTCAAAAAGACAAAAATCTGCAGTGCTGATGCACCATGGATGACTCAAAAACTGAAGTCATTGATTCTGAAAAGACAAAAGGCCTTTAACACCCAGAGTAGCGAAGCGGCGTCCTTTAAATACTACCGGAATCTCGTCAACAGGGTTAGGAAAAGATGTAGATCTGATTATTATGAATCAAAGATTCAACACCTTAAGGGAGAACAACCTAAACAATGGTGGGCTGAGGTTAAACGCCTAAGTGGAATGAAAGCCCAAACCAGTGATCTAGTAAACCAAATTGACATCGATGGCTTCTCCGAACTGTCACCCAAAGTACAAGCAGACCTAATAAATGCTGCATTCTTGGATCCTCTCGACGAGTATAAACTTACCAGTCCCTTGGAATACCATCATCTCGAAGGGTCGCCTGAAACACTTACAGTGAGTGTAGAACGTGTCCAGAAGGCATTAAATGCATTAAATGTACACAAAGCGTGTGGCCCAGATGGGATTCCAAACTGGTTATTGAAAGACTTTTCTGATATAGTTGGTCAACCAATAACCTTAATAATCAATGCATCTTACAAAGAACAACAACTCCCAAAATTGTGGAAAAGTGCTAATGTTATACCGCTCCCAAAAGCCAAACCAGTTCAAGACCTTACCAAACAATTAAGACCAATATCTCTCACACCATGTCTCTCAAAGTTAGCTGAAGACTTTATAGTATCAGACTATATAAAACCGGCAGTAACAAAGGTGATCGATCCCAACCAGTATGGAGTAGTATCAAGCTCGTCAACAACAATGGCACTGATCAGTATGTTACATAATTGGACATTAGGTACAGATGGAAATGGGTCTACTGTAAGGTCGATTTTATTTGATTATCGAAAAGCATTTGATTATATAGACCATTCCATACTCGTCGACAAACTGTGTAATCTGGACATTCCAATTAGCGTAATCAATTGGATCATCAACTTTCTGAGCGACAGATTGCAACGCGTTAAATTAGCAAATAATTGTTATTCAGACTGGGGCTCTGTTCCATCTGGTGTTCCTCAAGGCACCAAACTAGGACCCTGGCTTTTTGCATTGATGATGAACGATCTAAAACACGGAGCACCATCTTTTTGGAAATTTGTCGACGACACTACTGCTTCCGAAATTGTACCTAAAGGCAGTGTGAGTCATGCACAAAATATAGCTGACGATGTAAATGATTGGTCCAAAAAGAACAGAGTACAATTACATCCTGACAAGTGCAAAGAACTGAGAATATCCTTCTCAACACAAACACCAAATTTTGACCCACTTGTTATTAACAGCAACGAGGTTGAGGTTGTTAAGTCAGCAAAATTTCTTGGAATTACGATCAGCAATGATTTGACGTGGAACATTCATATTGACAATATTATCAAAAAAGTAAATAAACGAATCTATTTTCTAAATCAATTAAAGAGAGCTAAGGTATCCCCTAAAGATCTCTCTCTCTTTTATATAACTTGTATAAGATCGGTTATGGATTATGGAGTAGTTAGTTTTTACAATTCCTTACCAAACTACTTAAAAAACGAATTCCAACGTTTAGAAAAAAGAGTGATATCAATAATATGTCCTTATAATAGTTATAAAATTGGGCTGAAAAAGCTAGATATGTCACCAATAGAATTACACCATGAAGATTTATGTAAACGTTATTTCCAGACAATTGAAACAAATGATCGCCATAAATTAAGAAATTTACTGCCAAACAAAAATAACTGTAAATATAACCTGAGAAGTAAACATAAATATATAGTTCCGCTTGCTCGCACCAACAGAGCGAAGAACTCGTTCATCCTGTCCTTGTGTACATAAATTTACACAAAGTGGCCAGGTATGGAGTTTTCTTTGTCTCTGTTGGTGTTAGCGAGTACCATTTTTAGATACTTATTTTTAGATTTTTAGATACTTATTTTTAGATACTTATTTGCTATTATAATTTTACTAATGTAGATATTTGCAATTCAGCCGCAAGGCTGCAATTAATATTTTAATAAACTACCTACCTAACCTAACCTAACCTAACCTTAAGCTAATAGATTTAGTCTATTTCATTGTGTTTCTGACGTTGAACAATTTCACTGCCTTTTAATACATAGAATATTCAACCGGCTACGATAGCAATCTGGTATAGTGTACAAGGGGATAAGCAATAAGCAAAAGAAATTATCACAGCCATTAATGGTTAAATCTTATTCTTTAGAAATTTGCAATCAATAACATTGTTGTAGAGTAATTTAATTAGCTGCTATATTATTTTGACTACGTTAGAGTACGTTAGAGTTCCCAAATTCATTTCATTGAATTTTAAATGTACTGGAATGATAACTCTATTAAGAATGGCCTGTGATTGGTTGAAGCCAAATACGTCTAAAATTTGTCTACCCCTCCTGAAATTGTGCATATTTTCTTGGCGATCGAAGTTTGTTTTTACTTCTGGCAACGGGAATTTTATTCCTTGTCGTTTTTCGACAATTTTTCTGCATTGTACCATGCTTAGCTTATACCTTGTGACATATCTACGTGGAAATACGTAATCGACAAGTTTGGGGTTGATTCGACAAGCTACTACAAGACCGAAAATGTAAAAATATAGATAAAAACATTTTATTTGAATATTTTCAGTATTATGCACATCTTTTCTATAACTACATCTTTTACGTTCATCATTGATGTCTTTTTACGTTCAAAAAATGTTCGTTGGGCCTTTTTGACAGAAAATACATATTTCAGTTTCCCAGTATTTATTTAATTCTTGGGTTTTATATTACAATGTTGCGCATCAAGCTTATTCGTGATATGCGATTTGCTTATTTTCTTTTACTTTTTATTGGGTTTTTTACACACAGCATACAAAAATAGGACATTGTTTGCATGAAAAGCGTTATTTGAATTTTTAAATGACATGAAAAAGATGTTTAAATAGTTTTTTTTTTGCGAGAATCTTTACTTTTTATTCAGTTCTTACACTGAGCTAAATAAGTACTTGCAATGTTTGCGTTTTCGTGACATGAAAAATGCTTCTTAAAAAACACATTTTTCTATTTATTCGATGATTCAAATTTTTGGAAACTTTAATAGTTTGTATATTTAACCGGGAACTACAATATTTTGGCAGTAGAAACAGGTAGGCATATCTAGAAGTTCTTTCAACTCAGAAAAAGCGAATATTTTCGCGCGGTTTTTTGCCAACTTTTGTTTTTGTCAGACAATATTTCAGGAACTAAACGATCTTTGTTCAATGTAGTTACTTGAGTGAAAAATTTATTGCATCTACTATAGTCAAAGCTAAATATTAAAGACGTTAAACAAACAGAAAAGGTTGAAATTTAGAAATTTGTAAAAAGTTTATTTTTTGAAAAAGGTTACAAAGGACTGGCACTACCTACAAAACACGGCTTCAATTTCCCCCCTGAGTTATCATTCCAGTAGATTAATAATTCAATGCTTGAATTCAATGAAATTTCACATTCTTCTGCATGATTTCAAAATAATTATTTGACATCATCAACATTGTTAATAATGCTGTCGTTTGCCAACTGCTCCACAAAAATCAAAAGATTTTCGATTTATAATTGTCGCCACAAGATTTTCTCCAAATGCTTCAACTATTCTAATAGCCAAACCAAAAGAATAACCTTGTTTTGGAAACGGTTTGTGAAAGAAACGCTTCTATTAACACTCCTTATCGTCACAAGTTAATGATAATGTATTGTGCAAAGCGATTCTTCTTCGTTGTGTCTGTGTAAAACTACATGCTGCATTCACAATAGGAGCCACGTAAAAACAGCAAAAAGTTATTTCAAATCCATAAACAGTACGCAATATGTAATTTAAGTAAATCTTAATAATGGGTCTGTAACAGCAATATATATTTGCGTATTCATGCAGTGAAATAGCCATATATTTTTGTTCACAAGGCCCAGCTAGGCCGCGAGATTTTGATCAGATGGTTCGCCATTTTGAAATTTTTCTGATTTTGTTTGATGGCAAAATTCTCGCCCTTATCTTTCGGGTATTTTCCATTCCTCAGTAAAAATTTACAAGTAAAATCATGATAATACTAATCTTGTAGAGTGAAGAAAATACAATTTTCTATTAAATCTAGGTAGCTAGTAAATACAGAACTTTCCAAAGGCAAGTAAATAGTAATAGGAGTAACAATGGGATTGCTGTTAATGTATGGCATGTTTTGATTTACCACATTGACGTAGATGGCCAACCAATCAAATTACGAAAAACTATTTGATGATTCATTAAGTGTGCAAGTGGTCAATGTTTTTATTGATATGAATAATCCATTGTTACTGGGAAATGTTCGGTTGTTTAGAAGTTGGTTTATTGAGTTGCTTTTTTTGCAATAAAACGTAGACATCGAGCAAAAATAATATGAGGGTTTCTGAAAAATAAACACCTACATCATATGTAACAAGCCTAATTGAGCAACCAATCTGTCTGGACTTGGGTAGATTTCAATGTCGCTTCACACGAGAATATAATACAGTTTAAAACACATCTTATATTCTTGCGTTGCAAGGTACGTCGTTGTCGCCATGTTGGATGATTTTAAGAAAGGATTTTCCTTATTTACAATACAAATGTCATCAAACATGGCTAGCATTCCATTGTTCTCTTAATCTCAGGGGATGGTTGCAACCCACCGATAAATACGTATCATTGTTATGCTATGAGTTGTAGGAAATAATTACTTCTTCATTGAAAGACAAAAGACCAAGATGGCTACTTACAGGATCTAAGATACTCTTACAACATCGTACAAATTTTTGAAATAATAACATGAACATTGGCATGCTTGTATGACCGCTGTCCGGTAAGCTTATATTGCGACCGTAAATACAGTTGAAACTAAAAGGTAATCGTTTTCATTTACATTTACGACAAATTTTAACTGCAATTTTTCAAATGAAACTACTTTCCAATTTAAAAATTATTAAATATCTTTTATTAATACAACTTTAAGTAAACATTCTTACTGCTTACCAGTAAACGGTAGACCATTGTCATAAAGAAGTGACAAGCACAGAGCGATGGTGAGCAAATTAGAGAAATTATAATTTCCTGTGGCAATTATCAGCAACTGGAACGTCACCTACATACATGCAGACAAAAAAAAAATAAACGAGGTAGAACTTAAAAGCAACGACAAGTTACAATTTGATATAGAATATGTAAACACAAGCACAAAAAATGTTAAAGGTTGTAAACGAAGGTCACATGAGCTGTTTACATGAATCAAAAGAGTTTCATTCCTATGAAAGTATTTTTTCGTATGAATAACGTTTAAGATATAATAAGTATTAAATACAACGAAACACAAACATGACAAGCAACAATGCAAGTCTATGCTGTTTGGGAAAATGACGACTTTTGTTTCTTAATAAACTATTCTTGACTTGCAACCGTTCTCTTGAGATTTGCGAAACAATGTTGCTCGCCCACGCCGGCTGGTGCCAACAATATATCTGATGAAATATTCTTTTGTATCAGACCACCATGGCTGAATTGCAAGTTAAGAATTCTTGAAGAAATTTATTTAGAAATATTGCTCAATGAAACTCAAGACTCAAGACAAAACATGAACACATGCACAACTTAAACTACAATACCTGCAAATAAAAAGCAAACATTCGTAGGGATCTTATCGGTGAAAAGAATAAGAATGGGATCGGTATTTCTATCACAAACCTAAAAAGATTGAATATTTTACGTTCTGTAGCAAACATTTCGGGGTTTATTTATAGTTGCATGTAAACACAAGCAAAAAAAAACAGATAAAGAAAAATATGCCCCAGCATACATGCATTAAAACTACGACGGTTACTTTTTTAAAACCCAGAAGAACATTAACAAATAGAACGTGACAGGAAAACCAAATTTATCATTTAAGAATGTTATAAAATTAATAATACTAGAAAATCTCTTACGTCATCATAACACTAAATCTTTGAAACCAGGAGGGCAACTGATGTGCAAACCACGCAAGAGGAGTAGGGATACACTGTATTAAAAAAAAAAAAATTAAAATGTTCATGGCATACAGTAGCACTATAACAACAAAGGAAAATTCAGTTGTGCCAGAACTATATCTTTTGACAGCCAATTAATTTATTAAAGCACTCAGTCGAGTACACATGAATATATGATAATTTTTACTCCACTCCCGTTTGACCTTCTACCTACGACCCTCTGCTTACACTGAAAGATAATTTGATTAACATATTTTATTTTACATCACAAATACATTATGGTTGGAGAAATTACTTATGAATGACAACAGTTGCGCGAGCGCAAAAAAAGCTGACTAGGTTGTTCGAGAGAAGCTCACATTTTTTTACATTATATTGCCTAACATTCAGGTAGACATATCGTTCAAGACATCGAATGGTACGGCAAGGATTCTGGCATGAAAACAAGAAAAGCGTGTAAGGGTGCGACCACGATAAGAGTAAAGATGCTAATGACTACACATGTCACCAGATGCCAGACATACAATATCAAGATATTATCGATTAGCTAATGGCGATTTGATGATGGATGTTGAACTAACGATAATGGAAAAAATCCCAGCTGTTGACCATAAAATAAAAGAGTAGCTTTGGTCAACAAGAATTATAATGATGTAAATTGATGAACATACAAAGCAACACATATAGGTAAATTTTATAATCAGTGTGGGAGATAATGCAAAAATCAAACCCTTGGTTAGAAATGTGATAGATCTCGTAGCAATGTGAAGAGTCACAAGCTTTATCTGCCAAATGTGTTGCGTTTCAAAGATGGATCGGGGCAAGATGAAAAGGTATACTGCTGAGTTTAGGGAGAAGTATTGCGATTGTCTGAATTATGGAGTGTCACAGGCCTCTTTTGAGTGGCAAACAAATGAAACGTTTGAGTAGAGACATTTCAGTTTGCTTGGAATATATTTGGTCTACCTACATTTTCATATATCCAGCACAGCAGGGTGTTTTGTAGATACGTGGTCGCATAGCATGACACTTTTTCATTTACATCTGAAGGTCAGACGTAGGGACGGCGCTAGAACGCTAATTGGAGACGGGGTGTGTAAATTCATAAATTCAGTTGTGGGCGAGTGAGTTCTTGTGAAAGTAAATTGATTTTCTAAAGAAGTCAGTCGGGCACAACTGAATAAATGAATATACACCACCCCAATTAGCTTTCTTGCGCCGTCCCTGGTCATAACCGTAGAAGATGGTTAGGAGAGGAAAGTAAGTGAGAGCAAATACTAAATGAGTTTTAAGCTAGAATATGGCTTCAATGAAAAGAGCACAGTCACCTGAGATCATCCGTGAGCAGTCCTTCGCTTAACAGAAGTTTGCAGTCCAAACAGGTGAATCAAAGTGACTTGGATGAAAGTGAAACAAATTGAAGAACGACTTGTTTCTTGGTCCAGCTTGTAAATTCATTATCTAGAATTAGTTGGGGCTCGTGTGACGACTAATCTAGCAGTGAATATGAAAAGTCCCTTACCCGTAAACCAGAACAGCAACTGCGCATTGGATTGATAGTTTGATAGTAGTCCACTGCACGCAGTGTAACGGACCTTACAAGCGATTTGCCGCCAGTCGAGTTCGGAGAATACAAGAGCATTAAAATATATTAAACTTAGAAAGGTAGTAATGTGACTTTCAATGGTGGCAAAACCCAGAAAAAATGGCCTGCTAGACCAGAGGTTAAAACGTCTCAAGAATCTGACTCAGAAAGGAGAAAAATCTGTAAAGTGTTGTGCATCAATCAATAAGAAATCGTATCTGCTGACTTTGATGTGGAGTTAGCAGTATTAACACCTTTTTTTTTGAATTAGCGTAAATGCAAATTGCACGTGACGATCAACTGGATGATTAAAATGATGACCTTAATAAGCGTGTTACACACAGTACCATAGCAACCAATATGATGAATATATTGAGGCACTCGGTGAGAGAATCTACTTCCGTTTTGAGGAAAAGAACATAACATTATACAAGACTTGTAGTGACTTCAATTGACGAACAGAAGTAATTTAAGTAAAGCGAAATAATCGGTCATCGCACTTTCATGATTAATTCAATCTTTATTTTAAAGTTGAAATATTGCAGGTCAGGTTTTACAATAAAAGTTCAAAACAGTTTACAGTGAAGTCACTTTGCACAGGGTTTAAGTCAATTTCACTCGATGCCAGAATGAATAAGAAGTTCGAAAATATTGTCAAAGACTTTGACGAACATCTTGGTTAAAACATAGATCGCATGGATAGCTAATAAGGAACTCGTCTCTTTAAGAGGACACGTACATCAACGGACTTCGAACGCATAGCATGTTCTTAGAACATAACTTAAATATGTTCACCTGTTGTTTTTTTCTGGCAAATGTGGTATAACGAACAATAAGATGACTAACAAGAAATTAGAAGATTAGAGGAGTATCATTTCGTCTAGACGTCTAGTGATGAACGAATGTAAGGCGCAAAAAAGTGATGACCAAAACTGTTGTAAGAAGAACGTTTCACCCAATGTCCATGTTAGCAAATCAAACATTGAACATGACAATGAACATTCAGAGAACGATATCTTGAAAGAAATGCAGTACACTTAACTTTTATGCACGTGGTTTAGGTTGTGTATAAACTTCCACGAATAATATACTTTCTCTATACTTCGAATAAAGCATCGTAGCTATTTTTCTTTTTTACTACATAGCAATAAACAACATTCATACGTCAACTCTTACTTTTACTAGAAAATAGTTTAGAAAATCATCCAAGAGTTCGTAGCCGAAGTATAAAACGATATTTAAATAAAAAAGTAGCCCTTCAAATAGTCCAATATGCTGAATAACTTACTTTCTTCTGCATAATCAATGCTACTGGCTATGCCTGAGACTCGTAGTGCCAGTTCAAAGCAGTAAGTTCCCACCATGTTGGACTGCCACTGGTCAATTTAACAACACCGGAGGCAAACATTAGACAGAATAGTAGCCACTTTACAAGCCAAAGTGAAATTAAATCATTTGGAGAATTTGTCGAATTTCTAAAGAAAAAAATGAAAGAACACCATAAATTATGGAAAAGAAAACAATGGTAGCAAAAACTTAACAGATGAAGTAGACATTATGGTAAGTAACATCAAAGAAACAAATTGATGTGTTTTACTATCAAACCTTGAATTTTTGGACAGTGATACTATAATACACAAAAAACCACCTTCAAAAAGCAGTATATCCGTAAAAAAAACACGTGTAAGTTTAGCACAACAACAAGCACTGATTATGTGGTAGCAAGCATGTTATACAAGTACGTAGCTAATATTTTCAAACTTTTAAGAGGCACAGTAGACAGATTAAGATTGCAGGACGGGACATCATTGAGGACGTAAGTTCACCAAGACAATGTAGGCCGATGACGCCGTCGTCTTTACGAAATAAAGAATTTCATGCTTCTAGATGTAGATCGTCCAGGTTAGTATAGTGCTGAGAAGGACTGTTTTTGTCGTTGTTGACTGACGTTTCGACAACCTTAGCGGTAGTCATCTTCAGAGTCCACAAAAACAGTCCTTCTCAGGACTATACTAACCTGGACGATCTACATCTACAAACATGTAAAGAATTTCATCTTTTATTATTTTACCACATTTGGCATTTGGCAGAATACGCTTTAACTACGTCGTCTTAGACATCGCGTCCTGAAATCTATATTTGTTTAATGAGTTCACACAACATAAAGATAACACCTGTCTAAGGTAACACGCATCATGAATTGCTAAGAGCATGCATGTGTTTCACGTATGACAGTTATTTTACCAAGACGTAGTACTAGTAGCTACATGCAAACATTTGATTCAGTCATTAAAACAATGGGGAAACGGGTTCCCATGTCCACGAATTTTTGTAACATAAAAAGTTGTTCATAAATCTTTTCTCATGAAAATTGAGGATAATTATTAACATTATTACAAATCAAAAGCTCACAAATTCTTTTATGTGTAGAGTAGCTAAGTAACATCGATAAATGGGTTGGGGAGGAGGAGAGGCAATGCTTATACCTATATACGCACTTACTAACGCAGAGTAAGAATATGTATGGATACTGCCCCTCCTTAAAAGTCGAGCTGGCTAAGGCAATGTTTATAGCTGTACATCTGTCTCGGAACAACCACTTTTTAACGAGAAATCGCTTACCATTGAAACCAAAGAAATGTTTGACCAACCTGTAAAAAGGTGAAACAAAAAGTTCTTAAAAAACAGTTACCAAAAATATAACGCAAAATATTGAAAAATTTAAAAAATATTCAATTGCCAGTTCATGGGTTACAACAATATGCAATATGCGCTGTTAATCGGCGTTGAAGCATTTCGGCAGCGCCTTACATTCACTGGCGATAAAAATTAAAAAACTCTGAAGCAAAGCGAACAACAACAGCAGGTGCACAAATTTATCAATTTTTGTCAGCCTTGCATTCCAGAACAACTAAAGTAAATTTTTTTAAGCGTGTTTACGTAAGCTGCCATAAGTATTTTTTCTCAACTAAAAGTTTACCATCTCTAAAAGCAGCAAAACCTACTTGATAGAGGGAAAAATATAAGATCGACATAAACGAAAACGAGAAAATACTCCGCCATCCTTTGCTGACAATACACATTACACCGATAAACACCAATAATGCACAACAAACTCATTCCCGTTTGGGTTGTAAGACCAAGATCATCGATAAACCATAAAAGGGTCGGTCTACGACGTATGTCTTCCATCAAAGAAGCTTTGTTGTCTATAAAACACCAATGTGACTTCTGCTTTAAAATCATCGACACCAATCAATCAACTTTCTCTTTCAAAATCAAAGAAGCTCTTCACATCAATAAAACTAATCCTGATCTGAATGTTCAAATTCACCATTACAACACTACGCATATTTGTTAGCAAAGAGGTACAGGTATTACGTAACAACAGCTTCGACAAGAAAAAGAACGAAGCATAAAAATATCAATGACATGCAATGTGCCAATCATACCAATTTTTTTTTTTGATAATACATTCTTAAGAAGGCAGCAAAATGAGAATATTTACTTTTCAAAGACTTTTTAAAAACTATTTACTGACTTTTCACTGACTATTTGCTCATTAATACTAACTACGCATCTTAATAAGTTTCTGAGACATCATCTGTTTTTATGGAATATAACATGCACATATGAATACTGGCCCCCCTCTCCTTCTGCATACAACATTCAGCAGGACAATCCGATTAGAACTAAGAGCAATAACATGTAATAGCATCCACTATCAACATTGAAAAAAACATGCTATTTATTACATAATCCAAATTGTCTAATTTAACTAAACGGTAATTTATATAACAGCCTTGCAGAACATAGGCGTTGCAAAAATCTGTTTAATGTCTTTATTCAATTGATTTATGTATTTAGCACATTAAATAGTAAATATATTATTTGATTGATGTGCAAAGTTTGGCATGCACGCGATCTGGCGTGTTTTCCATATGCTAATACTTGATCTTTTATTCATATTGTAAATTAAAAAGTCATGAAAATAATCAAAACTAATAATAAAAGTTTTATACTCCAACTGATTGAGATAAATGGCTAGTAGCACACAGCTTAATTACTAACACATCATACGTCTTCTTAGGATGTTCCTAACAGGCAATAATCCATTGTCACCAAAGAAGCCTACAAAAAAAGTTGGTAGAGTGGTAGTCACATTTTCAAACCAAATAAGTAAAAAATGATTGCATTATTAATATACATTCTCAGTAAGCAATGCACAGCAGTCTACATATAGAAATAACTGTTCTTCAAAAATATGTGGATATGTAATTGTTACAATCTTACACTAACCAGATATATGAAGGGCACTTTTGCTGGAAACTTGGAACAAGAAAACAAATGTATGAAACTAAATACTTGGAGATATGTGCATAAAACAACTTTTTTTCTTACTCCACCATTTAATGAATGTCAATCATAGTTATTTATTAAACACAGGCAGTGGCATAGCAAATAAGAAATTTTGTGCTGCTCTGTAAAAATACCATAACCACTTATTGCAAAAACAATAAAATTTCAATAGAAATAAATAACTACAATGCTTTCACAATGGCCTAACAGAGCTAAAACATATACACATGCTAACTATGCCACTTATCATAGGATATAACCAATAACATAAAATTCCACTAAAATCTTAAATGAGGTTTATGTTAGTACAACTAATATAAGCCAAAAACAACTTTTCAAAAAAAACTTTCTCAAAATTTATACACTGTACACAAGTTGAAGCTATATAGCTCGCAAAAAATTACAAGCCAGAAAAATTAATTATTTTCCATACAAAAAGACTATTAAGTATAAATCATGAAACAATACATGCACATTAAATAGGTCAACTCAAATGAGCCTTCAGAATGTCTTTACGAGATAATTGTGATTCATCAATTGTCTGTCATGCATGTCATTTACATATACTTCACAACAATCGTTTCACCTTCCTGTATTTTGATTTGAATACTTTATGGCAACTAAACCAGCCATGTTTTCCCATAATTTTAGCTATTTACGTTTGCATATCATACCTGACAATCACAATTTAAAGTCACAACTACACCAAATTTAAGTGTTGCTCTTTACCAGTTTGCAAAAATAACATGTCAGATTGACAATAACAAAGGGTTACTTTTCCTGATATAAAGTAGTTGTAGTACCTACTGCAAGATATTATTAAGATAATATTAAGATTTTATAAAAGAATTATTTCTAATCTTTTTAAGATCTTCACAATCTTAAAATAAATTTATACCACATTTTAAAAAAATCTTGTTTCAATTCCAAATTGTACTAAATAATGATACTGTTTAAGTCTTATTTAAGATCTTACATAGAAATAAGACCTTACATAATTCCATAAGATCTTTTGGTGCAGCCAAGATGTAAACCATAGAATACATATATTGTTGACATATCATTTTAGTAGGGGGAGAGCAAAAATTTTTCCTGGAGGGCCTAACCACCATTTCCCCCTTTGCCTATCCCATTGATAATATTTTTACAGAACCTTACTTAAGATTTCTACCAGGGTAAGGGACAGCTAAACAGAATACAAACTTTTTTTGTTTTTAATCAATGTAATGGAATGTAATTTTATTAGCCTAACCTGGGTTCATCATGATCGAATTAGGCATCAATTAGGAATTGACTTAACCTGGAGTTTCAAACCAAGACACAAACGCTATATTTTTCTTCCACTCCACACTCAGAATGAAAGAAGCCTTAAGCATTAACAAACTTAAGCCAGACCTGTGTTTTACGTAGATTTTAAGATAATGTTCGAGTTTTGAAGTCGACCACAACAAAAATGCTCTACTGAGTCTACTTTATAGCCAAATGTATGCTATTTGATGATCACTCATCTTGTAAAACAAAGTTTTGTGGGGCTATAATGATCATGCTTATACGCCATATTTGCCTCTAATTCTATATTATGGTGGATTAACTTGTTTACTTTGAACCATTCTTAAGTCGTGACTTTTTTATAGCTGCGGAAAAACATGATTATTCGTGATAAAACACGATAAATGCTAATTAACTTAATTTTGAATTTTCGATGCGATGGCAGCGCCGACGCTCGGCGACATAAATTTTAACGCGTTCTCATTAATACATTAGGGACCTTAAGATTTCACGACGCGCGTTACAACAACGCGAGTTTGGCACGCATGGCCTGGTGCGAATGCGTCCGCGTGTCATTGTAAGTTAAGTCATTAAGATTGGATTTCCTTAACGACGCGAACTTGTGAGTTCACAACCTATACTTTCAAAAAAATGGCCTCCTTCAGAAAAACAAAAAATGCTATAGCTTTTGCGTATGATGCCACTTTGATAAACGAAGAAGAATTTGCGCTTTTGTATGATATTTCGCGTTCAAAGAACAATTTAGAAATATATAGTGGCCAAAATTGATGTATCAGTAGCCGTTGTATAGTATTTTTATGCAAACATAAAAGGGAATGGGACATGTCCTCGATACGTAAAATTCGCCATTTCCAAAAGCTTATTTTATCATTACAGATTTATTGGAATGCCATGATTTTTGGGGGGCAGAAACTAAACACTTAAGCAAATTAACCATAAAAAATTGGTATATATTCATACAATTCTAAAAGTGTAGTGACCTGGTAAGTTGAGCCTGTTTTTCCGGCAATGAAAAGTATGGGGTCACAAGAAACTTACTATTGGCAAAACTATAATAGGTGTGGTTCCCAATCTTTTATAATATTATAAACAATCATTGAGCTATGCAAGGAACTAGAATCAGCTTGATATGGCTATCCTTTCATTAAAAATGAGTATCTTGAAGTAAGGTAATAAAAATCGTCAAAATTCCATTGACTAAAATGCTTATAACTTGTGTTGAGTTAGTGCTACATCAAAAATTCTAGTTCCTTGCACAAATAATATGATCACAAATCTTCAGTGAAAATTTCAGATCAGTAGGTCTTATAGTTCTTCAGAAATCACAAAAAGCATATTCGGTCTAGGCTGAAAATGATAAATTGAGAAAATTAGCTGCAAAGTTTAGGATCACCAAAGCAGTTTCAGTTTAGATCTTAAAATGCTCCAGCTTCATAGTGGGTGCCTTCTTTTTCTGTAAGTTTGTCAAAATATCCTTTTTTTCTTTGTCTTATTCTCTTTCTCCAACTTTTCTGCTTCTCTGAGCCCTTTCTGGTTGAATGACGAAGACGGTCATAGTCCATTTTTTTCATTCCAGCCTTAGTATTATAGCCAGGAGTGATACCCATGTTTTGCAACACATCTAATATTGCTTTAGAGCCATCATTAAAAACACCCACAGGCAGAAAGGTTGCCAGTTCCAGAGTTGGCAGGCTTGAATGTGTCTCCTTGGTGGCACGCTGCCAAATCAAGGCATTGAATACCTCATTTTGGTTTTGTGTGCCACCATGGAGACAGGAAGACAGCAGATGACTTTTGCTCAGATCTGTGAAAACTGGCAATATACACAGTGAAACAGCTTCTGGCAGTGGATGACTGTGAGAATACTCTCGGTTATTCTTTACAATGTCTCTCTGATACCCACACCAACTGCTTTCTCCTTTAGGGCAAAGATCGTGGTCTGGGTTAGCATCAGTTGACTTAGTGTGGTGCCATATTGCCCATATAGCATTCTTCATCCTTTCCATGCTGTGGGAATTGTTTCTTATTGCCTTACCATAATATACCTGTAAGTTATCAATGACTTTGTCCGTTAGACGACCCTTCCCCCCAATGTTTTTTCCATCACTTAGGCGAGTACTTCCAAATTGTTTTTTCAAGGAGCGAAGTCTTGACCCCATTCTTTTCTGCACATAAACAACACATTCAAGTTTAGTTACTGGTTTTTCACCATATACCGAAGCTTCTTTGATTTCATTGTAAGCCTTGCTATCACCATCACCAAGAAAATCGACATACCGCAAAGCATATTGCTCAACTGATCGTTGAAAAATTTGTAAACATCCAGCAGCTTCCATTGCACCAGATGAGCCTTCAAATTTGCATGGCAACTGTGCTGATACTCTTCCCACCAGTGCACAAATTCCTCAGTACTTTGCTTGCTGCTCCAGCCATACACTCCCGGCATTCTTTCGACATAACCTAGATATCTAGCACTGTCCCAGTTACCAATGATATGCCAGTTACAACACCATAGGAAGATGAATATCCTCTTCGTCGCCATGTCCCATCAACTGAAATGCCAACATCATACAATCCATCTTTTGGTTTATAGAATTGATTTAGCTCCTCAGCAGCATGTTTCATACTGTTTTTTGCAACAACTTCAGCAGCTCCATGGATAGCCATCACATGGTCATTGTATGAGTTGGCATTCATGGGTGACAGCATATTCATTACGCCACAAAATTTCACAAGCCCTTGATCACCTACGCCAATGTTTCTCATCGCCAACACTGACCTTCTGTTTGCTTCAAATGCTTTAGAATTTTTCACACGACTTGACGAATAAAAAACTTTGGAATATGTGCACATTCGAGCCGAACATTTGAATGACAGTTGAGAAACAAGTCCCATTTTTGCCGATGTGTCTTCTTCCATTACGACGTGACCAGACTTACATTTTGGGCACAGAAATGAGCTAAAAATCGACATCAGAATAGATATATCTATCAGGCGAAATCCATCAGATACACCCTCGTCATCCTCACTTGAAACATCAGAATGAAGTTTTCTTTTTGAGGCAGGCAAAGATCTGATTTCTGATGCGCTCGTAGATGCCACTTAACTTGACAAAGTAGTAGTACTTGTTTCATCTACTTTCTCAGTTTCAGAAGACTGAGAATCAACTAAATTGTCGACTTTAACATAACAATTCCCATGAAACGTTCGTTTTTTACCCTTCGATCGAACAAACTTCTTATTATTAGGCATTTTGACGCGATTACAACAAAGTATTTCACTGACTTTCTTTACAAGCATGAACGGATAAACATTCTGACTTGGTAACCAGGCGATGTAAGTCGCCTACTTACCAGTCCTCTTTGTAAGGACTCTACTTTTACAAAACAAAATGAAAATCACCATGCAAAACTGTATAACATGGTTATTTTGAAAAAAAGTTGATGTGGTTTCCATGGTTACCAATGAAAAATTCATGGTGCATCTTAGAAAACCTCTAAAATCACGTAAAATAAAAGCCTAGTATTATAAAACTCTATTGTATATGAAAGATTATTAGTTAAACTGTCAAAAAATTATACTTTCGAAAAATTGAATTTTTCTTGATTTTTTTCCTATAAAGCCACCTTAACGACGCGAACTCGTGAGTTCACAACCTATACTTTCAAAAAAATGGCCTCCTTCAGAAAAACAAAAAATGCTATAGCTGTCGCGTATGACGCCGCTTTGATAAACGACGAAGAATTTGCGCTTTTGTATGATATTTCGCGTTCAAAGAACAATTTAGAAATATATAGTGGCCAAAATTGATATATCAGTAGCCGTTGTATAGTATTTTTATGCAAACGTAAAAGGGAACACAAACCGTTATTACAAAGTAAGACAAATTTCAAAGCCACTGAATGTTAATTTAGCTAAACAATTAATTTAAATCACGATGAATTTAGTGGTGTGCTTGATGAGCAATCACTTGATGCTGATGAAAACTGTTCTGCCATTTTCTTGCCTTGCTAAAAGCAAAAATGTGAACATATTTTACTCACAGATAAATATCAACACATCAATCACATACCAGACTCCACAGACAATTGTAACAGGTGAATTAAAAGCTGAAATACTTACTTTAAAACTTTTTTTGTGAAAAATTCCACACTCGATGTAGGACGACGTGGGATTAAGCAAAGACGCCGCGTTGTAGAAGCAAGACAAAACTCAACGACGCACGCACATGCGCATTGGTTTAAAATTCATTTCCGCTCGCGTTGTAGATGAGCGCGTCGTTAAATCTTAAGGTCACTATTATTTACTGCACGGTCTGCACCAAAAGGAAACTGCATGTTTTGTGGCAGGAGATACGTTGTTGTATATTGCTCAGGAAAAGGCTAAGGACAACAATGGGTCATGGTTTCGATTTGACAAAATTGTTAAAAAATTTGTATTCATAATATGTGATCACGGGGCAATAATAATTATATAAAAAACAGCAATTATAGTATCTCTCAAATATTTTCGATTCGTTTGAAACGAGAAATTAAGCCACAAAATTGTTGATAAGTATTAGAATCAATATATTGGTGTTAAGAGAGAACTAGTAGCATTATCGTAACGGCGCAGCGATGGTCTTTTGGCTCATTAAGAAAGCAATGTTTTACAACAGTACAAACTTGTGTTGCAAGATGATGGCGCAATCAAGCAAAATATTTTGTGCCTTATAAGATGGAAAGGGAAAGTCCCTGAATCGATGATGCATAAAATAACATATATAATTATAGGCTTACCGCTCGCTTCTACTTGTATACGTGGTTTTAATTAGTAAACCGGCTTCTGTACTAGAAAGAGCTGTTTCAACATGTCCTGGACGCAAAATCCGAACCCTAAACCGCTTAATGAAACAAATGCTTACTATGCCTTTATTTCACCGAGCTTTTCACGAGCTTGGAAGATTCACTTTAAGAGATTAATATACAAATATTTCAAATGGCTTCTTTTGTTGATTTTGTTCGTTTCACTATCAACAAATGCTATATTTGTTATGAACACAAAACGCAAGAACAGAAATCATCAATACAGTCTCCCTAATCATTACAGAGAAAGTGAAAAGTTTAGAACAATAAATATTGGTAAGTAAATTGCTCAGAATTACTTCCATTGATGTTACTATCAAGTCATCATACAACAAGAATAAACCAAATTACAATTTACTACTTTCAAATTATTGTCTTCAAATTACGTTAAGGACCGTTTGGTCCCACGTACAACATTCAACAACAACAATTTGTCTTTTTCTCTTATTAAACAACAACACCCTTTTAAAACGTCACTTCCTGCTCCGCATTCCGTCCAAAGCGGCAATACATACGGTAGCCACACCGGCCCCTAAATGGACATTGCAACGTAGCAATCCATTTACAACCATCTTAAGCTACCGTTAAATATGAATAACACAACAAGAACATAACTCTCAAATTCTAAATTATTTAGATATGTAAACTTTAATTGTCCATCTCAAGTAGACATAATTTAGTCACGGGACGGATCAAGGTTACCGTGTTCATCTTGTAATCTCCCTTCGGTTGATGTTTGGCTCTGGTCGATACTGTTGAACTAGGTTTTACCTTCACTGTCCGCACATTACCGTCATTACTTGCTATTGCTTCTACAACGAGACCTAACGGCCATTGTCCCCTTGGGTAGTTTTCGTCAGCTACAAGTACTAGATCTCCTTTTTTAAGATTCCGTCTCGGTGTATACCATTTTTTTTCTCTCCATTAATGTTGGTAAGTATTCTTTGAGACATCTACGCCAAAAAACATTTGCTAAGTATTGAGCCTGCTTCCAATTCTTCTTACAGCACAAATCATTTTTGTCAAATAATCATGGGGGTAAACTACTACTTGCTCGTAAATGCAATAAGTGCTTTGGAGTTAGAGGATCGTCATCGTCAGGACTATCACTGTTGCGCGTGAGAGGTCTTGAATTCAGGATTAGAACCACCTCTGCAATCACGGTTTGCAGGACTTCGTCTGAAATTAATTGTTCTTTGAGAATTGCTTTGAGGATTTGTCTAACAGATCGTATCATTCTCTCCCATACGCCTCCCATATGGCTCGCTGAAGGCAGGTTGAAGTGCCACTTAATTCTTCTTTGCGTACAAAATTTGTCCACTTTACTTTGATCCCATTCTTTGTTCAATTCCTTGTTAGCACTCACAAAATTTGTTCCTCTATCACTCCTGATTTGCTCGGGACATCCTCTCATGCTAATAAATCTCCTGAGAGCGTTGATCATCGAGTCTGTATCCAAGGAATGAGCTATTTCTATATGGATTGCTCGGGTCCTGAAACATGTGAAAAGGCAACCATATCTTTTCACCAACGATCTACCTCTTTTCACCAGCATGGGTCCAAAATAATCGATTCCTACTATAGTAAAAGGAAGTTTTTGAGGTGTTACTCGGCTTTCTGATAGATCTGACATTAGCTGCTCACCCAAACGAGCCTTTCTTCTTTGACAAGCTAGGCAACTTCGTACTACGCGTCGAACTGCTGTTCTTCCTTTAATTATCCAGAATTCCTTTCTTAGTGATGATAAGACGGATTCTTGACCCATATGACCTACTTCAGCATGATGTTGACGAATTATCATATCTGTGACGGGATGTTTGAAGGGTAGAATAATAGGATGTTTTGATTTCCCATTGATTGGCGCATTACCAAGCCTGCCTCCAACTTTTAGTAAGCCGTTCACCATCATTGGATTTAATTGTCGGATGGAGATTCCTGATTTTCTGAGTAGTGCCTTGTCAAGCTCGTTACTATTTCCTGGAACTGCAAACAGTTTTAGTTCTTGAGAAAATGTGGTGTTCTGTACACGTGCGAAGATCTCCCTATCGGCGATATCCAATTCTTCTATTGTTAGTCGTCCAACTTTAAATTCCGATTCCAAATGAGGACCAGAAATAACTTTCCTTTGTCTCGCCTTGCTAAGAAGATAATCCTTATAACGTAACAACCAAGCAACAGAACACCTCAACTTCCACCAAATGGAGTGGCGTGAATTCAACATATCCAACAAGTGAGGCTGTTCTGCAGTCACGTAAATTTGGGCTTCCTTCCTTACCTCTCCGTCTTCATCCTTTAATTCAGGAATTGTTATTCCCTTCGGCCAATGGCTTTCATCCTCCCAAAGGAATGCAGGACCTTTTAACCATTGGCCTTTATTTCTCAACACGTCCAATCTAACGCCCTTGGAACCTTCATCGGCGGGATTGTCGTCCCGGTTCACGTAATTCCACTCGGATGGGTGCGATCCACTACGAATCACTGACAAACGGTTGGACTCGAATGTGTAAAATCTTTTGCTTTCGTTGTTAATACATTTGAGGACTGACATTGAATCTGTCCAGTAACAAACTCTTTCCACTACCATATCCAATTCTTCTCGAATAATCTTCGAAAGTCTTACGGAAATGACGGCAGCCGTCAATTCCAGTCTTGGAATAGACATCTCCCTTAATGGAGCGAGTCTAGCCTTCCCAATTACAAATGAGCAGTGTATTTCGTTGTTTCCATTCTTTAGACGCAAATATGCCACCGCCGAATAGCCAAGTCGAGAGGCGTCGGAGAAAATATGTAGACTCACATCTTTAACTTCTTTGAATCCTGCAGGTTTAAAACAGCGGCGAACCCGAATTTCTTGTAGCTTTGGGAGATCAGCTACCCAACGTTTCCATTCCGAAAGTTCGTTCGCCTGAATGTGATCATCCCATCCAAGTCCTTTTCTACAAAGCATTTGCAGTATTAACTTCGCTTTCATAACAAACGGAGCAATAAAGCCTAAGGGATCGAAAAGCGAATATACTGCTGACACTATCTTCCGTCGAGTGACGGGACCTTCGTTTTCTAACTGCAACATTCTTTCCGCAACAACCCACACAAACATATCCTCTTCTGTGTTCCACTTTATTCCAAGAGTACTTTCTGTAGGAAGCTTATCCAATTTCAAATTCTTTACGGATTTTGCTCTCTCAGTTTCGGGAATTGTTGCTATCAACTCCTACTCTTGCTGTACCATTTTGTAAGACGGAATCCTCCTCTTTTTAATAGTTGACGCAATTGACTCGCTAAACTTATTGCTTTCACTGGTTCGCTTATTGATTTCATCAAGTCATCGACATACATGTTACATTTCACCGTCTCTACTGCTAGCGAGTCGTATTTTTTTGATACAACTCGGCTGTCTTCCGCAAACAG